GCCCAGCTATTTTTTTGTTGCAGTTTGGCCAGGGCGGGGTTTGAACCTGCCACCCTCAGTATATGGGGCCAGTGCCCTACCCACTGAGCCACAGACACTGCCCCGTGGCTCTCTTTTGTCAAAATTAGTCATTATCATAAAAGGAGGGGTGCGCTGCACAGGAGAGTTTCATCCTAAAGACTGCCTTTAAAATCTTGTTTCTGATACATGGAACTAGGTTGTCTTAGACTACATAGTATCCACTGACACTATCAATATGTACAAGGCGAGAAAGGAAGTGAAACAGAAATCAATTTTTGTAAGTATTTTATATAAAATATTTGGTGGTATGTTCTCTTACCCTTTTAGCCGCTGCGTTAGTATTTGAGATGACATCCTCTTGCAACAAGAATGCTGACATCTAGGAAGAGAGATTCACAGTTTTGATTGTTTACTTTTGAATGACCTGCATTTTCGGAGAAAGGCCTTGCAGGAGAAGGAAAGACAAAGACATCAGATGTGAAGATTGAACAAGTGCACCTCCCCCGCTGTGATCCTGTACCTTTCAAGTCCATTGATGCTATTTCAAGATATATCCAGTGAAAGAATAGTGTGATAGTTCTTGCTACATGAATGTGTATTTATTGTTAGTAGATTGTATTTTAATGTTGAAGATTAAAAGTATGTAAAAAAGAAAGAGAGAAAGAAACATTATAAAAGGTCATGTATTTATGCATTGAACTTTGTGTCTTATCTGTATAAATGTGTACATTTATTTAGGAGTGGGTTTGGGGGTTAGGCGATAAAAATGAGAGTCAGTTGAAGCAAATGAAAAATACTAGGATCAGCAAGAGAAAATGTTTCCTTTACTCTAACTTAACTACAAAAACATACTTAAAAATCTTACTTGTTTCTAGGCATTAAGGAATATGTAACTGCTGTGCGTGGACAGATGTGTATCTCTGGTGTCTGTAAGTATCCTTGGTGTCTGATCAGTGTGCTGGCCTCTCTGCTGACCTGCGGCGCTGGCCTCTCTGCTGACCCTGAGAACCTCCCTAAGGCAAGGCCAGCAGGACAGTGTTTTATTTCTAGTGACTTAGTACAACTCTGCATTGGACAGTTTTCTGTGTTGTTAAGATTCTGGTGCTAATAATGTAATTGGAGCAAGAGTGGAGGAGATTTTGTAGGACATTGTGGAGTTGTGATACCTCTTTGAAGTATCTTACCACAAATCTTGATGTCATCACTTGTAAATTCTCATTGAAAAAAGAGGGATCCATACAAGATTAGGGATGAGAATCAGGGGTCACCTATTAATCAGGACTGATTACTCTTCTGTGGTTCCAATTGCTACTGAACCTCCCAGCTGAAGAGGCTTTGGGGAGGAATGTGGGTATCCTTGGGGACTCCCTCCTGTCCACTGGCAGTTTGAGTTACACAGAACCCAGAGACATTCCAGTCTCTTTGTCACCGCAAACACTTAGGGCTTCCCCAAAACTTTCCACTGAGGTGCAAAGTCATTTACCTACGTACTACACATGTTTTCTAATGCATGGTCCAAGACGTTTTAGGTGGGAGGGCAAACCAGTTCGGCTCCAGGTTCTTGGAGTCTGCGTTTCAGCCACTCTCTGCCCTTATTGTTTTAAGGAATGGTTGTTAAGGGGACTAGAATTTGGCGGGGGTGGGGGGGTTGCCTTAATACCAATTGATAATGTGTCATTTCCCCCCCAAAAGCCATTGACTAGAACTTAGCCCAAGAATTTAACTAGAACTTTTGTTTGTTACTCAAAAGAACTTAATATTAAAATTTTGACCATAGACACTTGGGCCTCAAAAGAGCAGTACATTCAAAAGGAGGCAAATAAGAGGCTCCATGTAAAAGTCCACAGGTGCTAGTTTATTAAAATCTGGTCATGGTTTAAAAGCTCTATTTTTAACCTCTGACCAGGTATTTTACTAGATTAGTATGGCTGACATGCTAACAAAATTACTGAATTGGCATGAAAATAGACTTTGCATTAAAATATTATTGTTTATTTTTACTTTAAAGAATATTGCCAATAGACTCTTGAGTGTGGACAGCAGATAAGAGTTACATGGCTCTCTGGCTTACATCAATGCTATCTTTATGTAAAGATCATTGTGCAAATACCAGTTCAATGTTTGAGGTCCTAGGATCAATTATCTTCTCATTTATATACTTGTTTTTGGTATCTTTTGCCTATAAAACACCTTGTGAACTGTAGAATTAAGGAACTAAAAACTGTTTACTAGAAGCTCAAGTTGAGACTTAAGGATCATATCTGGTTAGAACCTGGACAGAACCACCAGAAAAAGATTTTCAAACTGGGGCTGAAGATACTGAACCAAAAATATTCCTTTCCTTGGTTTAAGGTTAATCTGTCTTTACGAGGATGTGACTTAGTCACATACTAATAGGGATATATGTATGTGCTAGTGGGTGGCAATGGCTTTCTGCGTGTATACATATGTTTTAAAATGAATAAATATTATCTTACCCACCTCCATAGATGCTTTTAATTTAGAGACTATAAATAATGGATACACCGCTACATGGTATTTAACAAATAAGTTTGAAATAATCTGTTAATCTTTTGGGGGGAAAACTTTTGATATAGGAGCAGCAATTAATTTTCTTGTGTAGCTGCTGATCCAAGCAGTAAGGCCGTGAAATAACATATCTCATAAGGACTACCTGGTGAAGGCCAGGGCAGACCAAGGCTTGCTGGGCACCTGGTTCCCTGGCCAAGAATCCCATGCTTGGTGAGAGTGTCTGATTTCACATGGGAACATAGAACATGGCTTTTCTCATGTGACTGTCTTTATTGGGTCCCCTATCTCAGTTGTGCCACCAGGTAAGGCTGGATCTGCACTGAGCCAGGCAGACTAGACTCTTATCCTCCGCCTACCCTGGGTGTGACAAGTAGTGGCAGGGAATCAGAGCAGCACAGAAGCCTGGCACCTGGGGCTTCAGGCTCCTGTTAGTGAGTTGGACTGAGTGGACTTTTTCTCTGTTGTTTTGCATTAAGTGTTTTTGCATTAAAAGTAGGTGCTTAACACTCGATATGAATAAAAAGTTACATTCTCCCGTCATTTTCTAAAGGGTCTTATTTTTTCTCTTGATGGCGTCCTACGTGAAGTAACTTGAAAATGTGATTAACATACAGCTTATTTCTTACCATGCCCTCCTTTGAAGCATATTGACACAAATCTTGATGTTGTCACTTGTAAGTAACGTGATTCAGACCTTTATGTTTATACATGTATGAATATCTGAGGTTGAGTGTATTATGCACTGAGATATTTTCTTTGAAACAAAAATCTTTCTACAAAATGTCATTTTCCTTTGTTTTCAGTGAGAATTTATTTTTACCCATGATATGCCCTCATTTAATTCCTTTATTTTCTACTTTGGCATGCAGGGTCTTCTCCTTTAGAAGTGAGAACAGTTCTAGTAAAATTTTAGAAAACATTGTCAGCTAACATGAATTCATAGAAGCAAGGATCGGGCTGGGTTGGGGGGAGGGGCGTGGGCTGGGCACAGTGGCTCACACCTGTAATCCCAGCACTTGGGAGGCCGAGGTGGGTGGATTGCCTGAGCTCACAGGTTCGAGACCAGCCTGAGCCAGAGTGAGACCCCATCTCTGAAAATAGCTGGGCACTGTGGCGGGTGCCTGTAGTCCCAGCTACTCGGGAGGCTGAGGCAAGAGAATTACTTAAGCCCAAGAGTTTGAGGTT